CAATAGAAAAAAAGTTTTTCCTGTGGAAAGGTTAAAAAAAAAACTTAGCTAGATTAACCAAAAACTAATATTCCATGGAATAAACATGGATTTTTAGGATCACAAATGAAAGAAGAGATAATAAGGAACCTAATTACACTTCAAGGAACTAGAAAAAGAACAAATTAAATCAATGTGTCAGGTGGAAAAAGGTAATAAAGGTAAGAGCAGAAATCAGAAATAAACACAGAATCAACAAAACTAAAGGGTAGCTTTTTGGAAAGATAAAATTGGCAAACCTTTAGCTAGAGTAAAGAAAAAAAGAGAAACTACTCAAATAAAATTGAAATGAATGAGGAGGCATTGCAAAAAGATTCCTCAACAAAAGAAGGAGAAAAAAATGTATATGAACAAATAGAAGAAATGAATAAATTCCTAGACATGTTTCTGACCAACACTGAATCAGGAAGAGATAGAAAGCCAAAGCTGACCAATAGCAAACAAGGAAATCAAGTCAATAGTCAAAACCTCTTTGGGACAAGATGGCTTCATGAGTGAATTAAAACAAACATTTAAATGAAAAAAAAAAATCCTTATTAGCTCTTTTGAAAAGTAGAATAGGAAACACTTCTAAACTCATATTATGAAGCCAGTAGCACCCTGACATCAAAGCCAAGGACATTACAAGATAAAACAACAACAACAACAACAAAAACCCTTACAGTTCAGTATCTGTGAGGAACATAGCTGCAAACGAATTCAACACTTCAAAAAGATCATGCACCATAAGCAAATGGGATTTACCCCTGGATGCAAAGTCGGTTGAACATTTTGACCATGAACTATGTTTATACACACACATGCACGCACATACCCACAACACACATTGTGAAATGGCTACATCTAGCTAATTGACATATACATTGTCACTTTACCTCAGGACCATAATATTTGAATCACACACTTGGCTGATCACTCAATCATCTCTGCTGTTAACTCTTTAAAGTTTTCATATTTTTCTGCTTCACCAATATGAAAGACAGTGTCCTTCTTTTCCCAGCTACCAAGGAGAACTCTGGTGTTAATCTTGCATTTTTATTGCTTGCTGAAGGTCCCTGCCTTTTATTTTCCCTTGTAGGAAGTCAACACAGTTGTGACTGCAGTCAAGGTCTGGTGTCCTTGGATACACTGTTCCCCTGAACTTTTCAAATACTGAAGCCATTGCATAGGCAAGGGTTTCTCTTGGAACATTCTCTCAGGTCACCACTGGTGAAATTTTTAAACAAACTTGTTGCTACCTTGTGCTAGGGATCTTTGGTGCCTCCCTTGCCACTGAAATGGGATCTTCCCTCATTGTAAGGCCTGCAGGAACAGGCCTATCCCCCAAACTCTGGAAAGCTCTGGGCCAAAATATGGCATATTTCACCTGATGTGTAAATCAAGGAGTCCAACTACTTTCAACAAATCCTGTCAGATTGCAAACAGGTTTAGCTGTGAATAGAATGGGAAACATATGATTAATTTTCTATACAATGACTTGAAATTTTGAATCTGTAGTTCCCTCAGCACACAAATTTACAAACTAGCAAACCAACCAACCAACCAACCAACCAACAAAAAATATTTATAAAGAAAAAGAAAATGGAAGGAAAGAGAGGATGAGTGTTAGAGTCAGAAGTGGAAAAGAAAGTAAAATATGTGGCTACTTACTACAAAGATAAAAAAATGAGATAGTTACTCTTTCATTAATATGGTGGGTGTGGCAGGGAAGGGGGTCTATAAAGAAGCCTAAAATAAATTTTGTTTAACCCAAAGCTTGGTCAAGTATGACACCTACAGGCTGCTCAAATAGAATTCCTTTGGGTGATGTCGTTTTTGAGAATGCAAGATAAATTTACTTGAAGTTTTTGTTCAAAATGCACATCCTTGGATACTTCCCCTTGGAGCTATCAATGAATAATTTTGTTTATATTCCTTTATTATTTCATAGAAACTGATAACATTAAAAATAAACTAGCTGAGGTTTTTTATCATTACTTGTATATGCTGGCACCGATCACTGAAAGTCATTGTCCACATGTCTTATTGGTTATCAGGTATGCATGTATGCTTGTGTTCTTATAAAAGAGAAAACACACGTGTATGTAGATGTACATGCCCTCACTCTCTGGGGTTCAGGGACTATAAAAAACATAATAAAGGTAGAATAGAAACCCATACGAGAGGTGATATCTTCAGAAATGCCTTACTTTTAACTATTAAAAATTATCCTTTGAATTTGTCACCCATTGGTTGGGAAAACTTTTATTACTTTGGCTAATTAATGAATGAACAGTTCTTCATGAAAAATGATGAACGATTTTCTTCATAGCAGGCTGTACAGATGGTCAATTTAATCTGCATCCTTGAGACTTCTCATGACTACATTTTGACATCGTGTCATTAAACATTTGTGTATTTAATATTCTAGAAAACAAAGATTGCCATGTCCTGCTATCAGTTTTATTGATAGGATTTCCCCAACTGTACATTATATTTTCACAAAGGAACATGTATATCTGGTCTCCTTAGAGACTCATAGGTTTTGTCCTCAAGTGCAGTAATGATGTTGTGTGAACAGATGTGTGGAGTGGTGGAGATATGTCTTATTTTCTGTAACCTGTCCAAAGATGTCTTCACTAGTGTGTGTGTGTGTGTGTACCCCCTAAACCTTGTATAAATTGAAAATAGAAGAAGCAAATCATTTGTTGGTTATTTCCCAACACTACTATAGGACATTAAACCTGAGTTGTTTATTTTAAATGCCAGCAGACTTTGACTTATATGTGTATAATGCTGGCAGTTGTAGCCATAGTGTTTAAAGTCTTGGCTAGTTCAATAATTGCTATGAACATGGGTAACTACATAGGTCAGAGTCTTACATTTTCTTTAGACATTAAACGTTTAAGTATAGCATCTGATGGCTTTTCCAAGGTCTAGGTAACTGCCCTGTATATTTAATTGTACTATATTGACTCCTCAGATTCTCTGTCTTCTGTTATATCATGAATTTCTGCGTGGTGAATTGATTTGGGTCCTCCCAAGAATGCTTATTCCGGACTGCTATTAGCAGAGTACTTCCACTTTGAAGTGCCAGAGTGAGAGATTTCAGGGTTTAGAGCACTAACAAAGGCTTAGAAACATAAACAGACAGGCTAGGAACGCGCCTCCTTGTAGGGTGGTCTTGCTGAGTTTTCCCTGAGAGGGAGAACCAGGGAGGCAGGCGCAGTCCCCTTTTCCTTCCGTGCTGTAGCTGTTGAAAGAGCTCCTTCAGGGAGTCCCACATTAGTTCGGATCAAGCTTCCTTTGTATCCCCTATCAGCCTATAATCTTTTGATTGTTGCCTGTTTTTCACCAGTGAAGAAATAGTAATCCACACTAGTTTATCTCTCCTAATCACAGACTCACAGAGCTGGGTTCTCTGGGCGATTAATTCCCTCTTAGACGCCTAACAGAGTGGATAGTAAACAAAGAGCAAATTTGCAACCTTCAACATAGCTAATTTCCTCTGATGTCAGAATACTTAAACAGGCAGGACCTGCGAATTATTTGATCAAACCTGCTTTTAATCTAACGCAGGCAGAAGGGCTGTGTCTGGAAGGCTCAGCAGATGACAAGCACCCCCAGGGAGCCTTAGAGAGGGTTTCCTCTTTCAGAAACAGTAGCTTCCTCATTTCCAACTCCAAGGCTGCTCTGTGTTGTTGGAGTAAATTCATAATGGGTAGTTTTCCTGCTTTTTAGAGTTTTATTTTGTTTGGCTGAAAAACTGCTGACCGGATGAAAATAGTTTTCTTTGGCTGTTGGCTAGTTTTCTAATTGGCATATTGCCTTGATATTATTTTAAGTTTGCTAGGAAATGAATTATTAATAAATTATTATTGGAGGAAAGGGAGAAAAAGAGAAAGGATAAAGCATGATCTGACATCACATACACATACTACTTCTACTGGGATAAGAAAGTGAAAACACAAAGAACAAAAGACATAAATCCATGTGGGTCTTTAGACTACGAAGGGTATTTTTCCACAGTGCTGGTTGGGAGGACCGAGTACTGTCCGGGATGTGTTAAGCAAAGAATTTACTAAATCAGAGACAGCCCTTTGACTTGGTTTCCCTTTAATTTTACTCACAACAGCCTGGCTACTCGCAATTGGCATGTTGTCAGGAGAGAGAAGGAGATGAGGGGTGGAACTTTCACGTCCCTGCTTGAAATATCATTTTATGACTAGTTTTTGTAGCATTTCACCCAATTAGTGAGATGCCATTGGGAATTCTAATTGAACGGGAATTCGATTTTAAAGGCTAAGAAAGGACACTCTAAAGTGTCATACAAGATCAACCTTGCTCAGGTATCTTTTGGTGGGAATAGATTAAGTTAACAAACAAACATAGAAAAAGTGTGTTGAGTGCATTTTGCCTGTGAGTAAACATCCCTACTGTCTCCTGTTTTCCGCATCTGATCATAAATACTGCTCTCCACCTAAAGTGATTCAGAAGCCGCAGCTTAGAAATAAATTACCCACGCCGCCGCTTTGTGTAAATATGCAGCAAGAATCACGGGCTGCTCCATCTAGTATTTGCCTCCTTGGGTGACGATGAACGTCAAGGCCTGTTATTTGTCATTCTGAAGGCTGCCGGGTGATGATTCTTTTTATTGGTGTCTGCGGGCAAACATATTTCAACGCCCCACGTGCACGGGAGTTCTCGGGGCCGGCTGCCGCCTCTGCCCCCCACCTGCGCCTGCAGCCCCCCGGAGCTCGGCTCCACGCACGCCGCCCTCCTCCCTCTGCAGCTGGCGGCGGGCGCGCTGCCTCCAGCCCTGGACCTGCTCAGTCAGCTGGGGCCCCCTGCGGACGGGACCTGCCACTGTGCGCGCCATGGCAGCGGCAGCAGCATCCCCGCCAGCAGCGGCGGCGGCGGAGGTGGCAGCGACTCGGACCACCGCGCACGCTATTGTTCCTTGGTGTTAGCAGCTCTTTTCCCTTCTTTTCATCTGCAGCGAACAATAGCAAGGGAGAGCTTGGCTGTCCGTCCTGCTCTGGAAGACGTTCGCAGAGCGCACAGGACAATCCCCTGCGGAGAGCGCTGGGATCCGGACCCTGGAGCGGCTGCGGGCGGCATGGGGCTGCGAGCGAGGCGCGCGGCGGCCGGGGGCCGGGCCGTCCTGCAGCTGCTGCCGCCGCCGCTGCTCCTGCTGCTGCTGCTGCGCCCCGGCGCCTGCGGGGCTGCGGCGCAGGGCGAGGCGGAGGCGCCCACCCTCTACCTCTGGAAGACTGGTAAGTGGGACACACTCCCCTGTCTTCCAGTCTGGCTCCACCTGAAGGGGCTTCTGGACTTCGGATGGGGCCCCCGAGCTTCCTGGGGGCCCGCTGATGCGGGGGTTCTAAGGCAAAAAGTGTGATCCCTAGGCAGCAAATTGGGTCATGTCCGATGTTACTCGGCAAGAAAAACATAACAACGGAGAGGCAACAGTGAGTCATTGCAATGTTATTTCTCCCGCAGCTCCGTAGGGCAAGGCTGCACTTTCAGCATGAAGTGCTGTGTTTGTAACCTCTGCCTTCTCATTCTGCTAACAAATTTAACTAAAATATGTTTCAGCATAGAAGAAGCAAACAAACAGTTAGCTCCGGTCTTGACTCTGTCTTCCGGCAAGCGAGGCGCTCAGCGCCTTGACATAAGTGGATGGAGAGTTGAATTTGTTAAGTTTAGCTTTGTGATAAGTGGGACACGTGAAACAGCCTAGTTAGGGCGGGTCCAGAATCCAAGGTGAAAGGGGCTGGAGCCAGGCTGCTGGGACGACTGTGGAAAGCTTAATTCTTCGGGAGTGGACGGCAGGACCTTAAGCGTGTCTAATTGTTAGGCAGGTCTCTGGCTTTTAAACTTTGCCTTCTTTAGGAATTCGTTCTGCTTTATTTATTCAACTGACCAACAAAAGCAGCAACCAGCTGCCTCCGGGAGCTCCCAGCCAAGTGCCTGACAGTTCAGTGGGCAGTGAGGGGCTGGACAACAATGCGGAGAGAGGAATTCCCTCCCCCTCTGCTCCTGGCTAGCTCGCTCTGTCCACTAAAGGACACGGAGGAGTCTCCAGGAGACCTGGAATTTAACATGGCCCTAGGACACAGTGGGAAAGATGATTCCTGTTGCCTACAGCAAGCAATAATTAAAGAGTTCCTTGGAATGCCTCAATACTAAGAGGACATCACAGGGAAAGAAAGTCTGTATTCATTGTGGGATTGCAGACTTAGCAGAGTTGATCTCATTCCTGGCTTCAGCCCTTCTCTGCCCCCCTGCCGAACAGACAGATCAATCCACCCTACAAATGCACGGATTTCCTGAATTTTTAAAGAAGTTGCATCTCGCCGGTTATCTACTGAGGATAATAAATAGAAATGTATTTAAAGCCAAAGCACATACTTCGCCTGGAAAGGTTGCACGAAACACACAGACCACATTTGAGATTGCTAGATCAATCGGGCTAACACTTTAAATGTAAAGATCATTGATTAATGGATGCAGATGAAATCAAATTATATTCAATTTAAAAGAAGAGCTGAAGATCTTCTGTCATTTAGCTAAAGCCAAGATTTTACTTTTTAAAAGCTCTTTCATAATGACAAACTCCAATAAAATTCTAGTTTATCATTAAATAGTCTTAGTTGGATGGGTGGTAAGAGAATGTGAGGTAAGCAGGTGTTGGGCATATTAGTACTCCACTACCTGAAATTTGTATTAACAAAGTAACAAGAACCAAGCAGTAATTCAAAATGAAAAGAACCTAGACAATATTCACTGTGCAGCATCCGGGGTGCCAATATATGTCAACATAAATGTCGTGGTGGGAACACAAGCCAATAAACAGCTTAAAATAGTGGAGCGCTCTCAGGAGCAAGGATGGGGGGACCTTGAATCAAGTGCCAGTTCTGGCTCTTGCTGGCCGTGTGGACGCAGGCAGTTCACTTAACTTCTGACCCCTGGCTTTCTCAGCTGCATATAAATGGGATGAGACCATCTGACTATCCACAGTGCTGAGTGCTGTGAAAATCAAATCAGTGAGTTCTGAGAAAGTAACTTGTCAACTTGGAAGTTATGGGGAAATTTAAGCTAACATGTTGGGGATGTACCTCTTTCTATGGTGATCTTTGGTTTGATGTGGGGAGGAAGGCAAATTAAAGTGGAGAACAAAATAATAACATCTTGATTTTTTTTCCAGAGAGAAAGCAGAGTTTATTATATCTATATAGGATTTGAGAGTAGTTTTTAGAGAAATTAGAAATATTTAAAGGAAAGTCATGTACTCTAAATGAAAACCTAGAAGTGACAGATTCCTAAGTGTCTATCACTTGATGAAAACAAAGAGACAGAAAGGGAATTGGGAGAGGAAGGAGGTAGGACAGTCTTTGCTGTCTGTTCCAGTGAGATGAATTAATCTTAGTACAGAAGGTTATAGGGAATCACATTAATGGTGAGGTCATTGCATTAAAGTAGTGTAGCAAAAGTTAAACCAAACATCTGGGATAGGTACTCTGTATGCTACTCACCTGCTACTCAATTTTTATAGCTATTTAATGACTTTGGTTCTTGGTTTCCTATTTTTTGATATTTAGTGATTATGAAAGATACCTGTATGAGCCTTTTCAGAGCTAAAATGTGTCATGTGCAAATAAATACATCAGAAATACACATATAAATGTATATACACTCATATATATGGTATAGACCTATGTGTATCCTACAATGTATGTGCCTGTAATATACACATGTGTAATACATATGAATTATACATGATATGTAATCTGTTATGCACAGTATTTGAAAGTTTTATTAAGTCTATTCACAACAAAGAGTTATTGAAGACCTACAATATGCAGTCACTGTGGTGCAGACTAAATGGAATTTTGTCATCCATGCCTCTGAGAAATTCACAATTGAACAATATTGTAAATATACAACAGTTACTACATGACATACCATACCTATGAACAAGGCACTATGAGACCTTTGAGGTTCTGTCCCTGATGGCTAATATATGGAGTGTTTCCAACAGAGATTACTTTTTCTACTGGATCTTGAGGAATGTGTTAGCTTTTTACTGAGGGAGGTGTGAAAGGCTGTTCCAAGCAGAGGGAAGAGATAAAATGAAAGTATATGACAGCACTCCTAGATCTTGATTGTAGAAGTAGTGTGCTGCAACTCAAGGCCTGGATGTTTGGTAAGAATGGGAATATTCAATGCCAGAAGAGGTGCTTGGGAACCAGATTAGGAGAAAACTTTCAAGCTGTGATAGAGAGGTTGGGGTTTAACCTATAAACAGGTAGTACCCATTGGGAGTTTTGAGCAGAAGATTGATTTATTGTTTTTCTAGATGTGGAGATATGAATCTACAGGCTGGGTGGCCAGTAAGGTTAAGTGATAGAGAGGCAAAGGGGGACATAACTGGACCCATGGAAGTGGCAGTGAGGTATGAGCAGAGGCAGGGTTGTGGTCCCATTGGGGAAGTGCTAGCTCAGGTTTGGGGTACAGGAGATGCAGTGTCTCCCAAGGAAAGTAGGAACAAATGTCCTCAAGTCTCCATGAAGCATGACCCCAGTAATATGAAAGGAGGAAAGGGAGATATATCCTCAGGATGGGAAGGAGAATATTCATTTAATTCAGACAGCTGAACTTGAAGTAGCAAGAGCCTATTTTGATTAATGGATCTAATGGGAAGATGAGAGAATGGGTGGTTTCTTTGAGAAGTTTGGACTGAAAGTATGATTTTGGAAATTAAAATATGATATTTCAAGGTATGAGAGTGGGACAAATCATTAAAGAAAATATTGAAAAGAGGAGCTGGGGTACTTTACAGAGAATACTGAGATTGAGGTTCTTGAGAGCTACATGTGAGAGTGAAGGGCCTGGGAAGGTATGGTCAGGAAAGGTGCAATGGTTTTAGATGCTAAATGAAATTGTTTTATGAAGGGGATAGTGACAGGATGTATACACAAGTGAGAAAGACCTGGAAAAGGATTATGAAGTGTTTTTGAAAATTTCAAATAAGATCAGTAATTCATAAGACAACTGTTTTTGGAAAGGGTATTTTAGGTAATTGCGATTGAATAATAAATAAGATGGTGAAGAGAAGGTTGAATAGCTGGGCGTTTTTCAAGATTCTCTTCTGTACTGTTGTTGGTTTGTAAAAGGAAAAAAAAGCCAGCATTTAAGACATCAAAATATATTCATTAAAATATAAAAGTTAGGTTTTTCAACAGCTTTTATCACAATCATCTGAAAGGTAATTTTATGCAAATAATTGGAAAACATATTTCATATATTCAGGCAAATGGCACATGTATTATTGGGAGGTGAATAATTACAGTTTGAGTAAGTTTTGGACCAGTTTTATACTTTTTTATTCTAGCATTTAAGATTGTTTCCATAATAATTATGGTTAATTATATTCACCTGGCAATTCAAAATTAGGAGTGTTAATGGATTGAACAAAATGTGGTCGACTTAGCATGAGTCAGAAACTATTGAATAATCTAACTTACGTTGACTTCTGTCCTAGAGATATATTTTCCAAAAAGTCTTTTTGATAAGAGTTGGCTTTTATTTTTTCATTTAATGTTTCATTTAATGTTTCATTTAATGTTAGGTTATTTGAAAGGTAGAGACATAGAAAGAGACAGAGAAAGCCGGCGCCGTGGCTCAATAGGCTAATCCTCCACCTTGCGGCGCCGGCACACCGGGTTCTAGTCCCGGTTGGGGCGCCGGATTCTGTCCCGGTTGCCCCTCTTCCAGGCCAGCTCTCTGCTATGGCCAGGGAGTGCAGTGGAGGATGGCCCAGGTGCTTGGGCCCTGCACCCCATGGGAGACCAGGAAAAGCACCTGGCTCCTGGCTCCTGCCATCGGATCAGCGCGGTGCGCCGGCTGCAGCGGCGGCCATTGGAGGGTGATCCAACGGCAAAGGAAGACCTTTCTCTCTGTCTCTCTCTCTCACTGTCCACTCTGCCTGTCGTAAGGAACAAAAACGAACAAGAAACAGAGGAGACGGAGATAGAGACAGAGAATTCACCTGCAAATACCCACAATAGCCAGGCCTGAGCCATACCAAACCTGGGACCCAAGAACTCCATGAGAGTTTCCCATATGGGTGACAGGGGCACATATACCTGCTGCCTCTTAGGGTAGGCATGAGCAGGAACCTGGAATCAGAAGCAGAGCCAGGACTCAAAATCTAAGCACTCCCAAATGGAATGCACATGTCCAAAGTGGCATCTTTTAACCACTCTGCCAA